TCTTGTAACGAATCGACGATCGGCCTGGAGTACCAGGTTCGACATTGCCGAGTACTTGTACTGCGACACATCTCGATTTGCGTCGGACATGATGGCTAGATTATTATTATGTTGTAATTGATAGAGAACGTCGATGTTCTCGACAAAGACTAGGGCGCTTGGCACTTAAATAACCATCAGTTTGTCACCGACGCGACTAAATCGGATATATAGCCGTTGCCTGAATATGCTGTAGTCTGCGATTGGTGCGCAGTCGTTTCGAAAAGGTTTGTAGTTGTCTAAAGGTTTGAAAGTTCAAGTCGCGATCGTAAATTTCGGATCTCAGCCTAGCAGGCCCCTACGCTAGTCCCGGTTCGGATAAGAGCTTGTGTGGCGCAAATGCATAACTATAGGCCCAGAACTCAGGTCATAATCTCTGCTTCTTAAATGAATTTGAGTGTTTACAAGAGTACGGATACAAAGAGAATGAGTTCGCGTTATAAACTCGAGTTACAATGTAAAGAAGTAATTCAAGATTATCAATTCATTGCGTGGTGACCATGTTGTTGGTTCAGGGGGGATACCTACTAGCCACACTTGAGTACCTACCTCACTGTCTACGCTGCCCATGGACTAACATATTTCGTCTATTTACTTTCACCGAGACCAGAGCAACAAACCTAGGCCAGGGATTCCTTCACCGACAAACCATGATTCACAATGGCAAATTCTTCTGAGACTGCTGAGACATTTCAAAAGACACTTGATCCATATATCAAGCCACGAGAACAAGTCAACTACATTCGGCGAGTTTTGGCTCTCCATCTCGGAACATGTTCTCATGATGGTCCAGTCAAACAGCCTGTGTCTTTGGCAGATCCAACACGCGACGTAACTCTGGATTCAAGTTCGAAGGGAATCTACAAGAATTATATTGAGGCTCTAAAGGCAAATGTTGATGCCCGTCGAAATTACGAAGATGCTGCCCAATCTAATCTTCTCTCCTCGTCATTAGCCAAAGAGCTCCCATCCAGCAATGAGCTACTAGAAGAGCAGGTCTCACTTCTTAAGCTCCAGGCGAAACAAGCGCGACTTACAGCCGTCCAAACTCACCTAGACTCACTCATGCAAAAGCCAGCCGCTGCTCCTGAATATCTTGACCCTGAGGATGTTTTTCACGATGCTACCAGTCTACCGAGTGTCCCAAAAGAGGTGGTGAACAGTCTTGTCGCACAACAGAGCGTTAAGAAGACGGACCTAACAGAGCAAGTGACACAGCTTGAAAAGACGGTCTTGAGGGCTAAACTCCTTCTGCGACGAGAGGAGCAGTTACTTCGAGAAACGAGGGCAAATGCTCAGACCATACCAGATGTTATCAGCAATGGTATCAGACTACATGCTCTTAATACAACAAGGAATGAGCTTATCAATTGGATTGAGACGGAGTTGAGCAAGGCATCAGGGGATGAGAGTGGGGATGAGGACGGTTCCAAGAGCCATAGCCAATCAACAGCGGACCAAGCGACGATAAACAATCATCTCAGCATCATCAAAGAGAAGTACGCCAATTATCTTGCAAAGAGGCGGTCCCTCCTCGCTTCTGCGGGTGAACGATTTGAGTCATCGGCTGTTCCTGTTCTGGCACCCTCCTCCACCAAGCGACAAGTTGAGGAACCGGAACCTGCATCAAGTACATTTCTCCTGACACCATATATCGAGACTCTCCTTGCACTTTCCAAAAAGCAGAGGGCCATGATAACACAAAAAGCACATGTAAATACGACACTTGGGAAAGAAATCAAGGATAACTGTCAGTCGCTCAGTCATTTGGAAGAAGAAAGTCAACTGCTTCCATCTCATTCAGTGGCACCAACGTCTCGGAGGAGGTCTGGACTGGGAGAGTTCCTTGCTTCGGACGAACGCTCAGGTCTGACAGGCAAGGTCCAGCCTTGGGTTCTCGCTGCAGATTCGGCCAAGATCACTACCCTAGAAAATGTGGCGGAGCAGATTGAAGGTGGACAGCTTGCGTTGGTAAACTCAATGCAGACTCTACAAGAGATTGACCAGCTTTTGGGTCAGGACGAGGCGGCCGAGGAGGAAGAAACACAGGCTGATACTACGGGGGATGACGTTTGGCTTGAAGCAGGTCCCAAATCCCCAAGCAAGGCGAGAAGGCATACAGAGAAGAGAATCACAGAACCGAAAGATGCCTGGTCTAGTCTGCAAGGTAACCTCGGATTAATTGGTCAGGGAGACACAGCTCAGGGTTAGAGTAACAGCGACAAGTACAATAGATGTCTGGTGATATAGAGCCAGTTTAAAACGCCAACCCATTTCTAGCCATGACTCCGCCCTCATTTCTTGATGCAGCACACTAGATACAGAGCCAATAACTCACTTCTTCGACATGATAGTCGATATCCTCACTGACAGATCGAGAATGGAGAGATGCTCATCTGCTCCATCTACTAATCGCTTGTCAACTTCTGAGAAAACCAGCACAATCTTGTTTTTCTGTGCATCGGGTATCGTCTCGTCATATGTCAAGGTTTGGTAGAGCTGTCACAGGAGTTATTATTAGCAGTAGTTCAGTGATATGAAGGATGAGACTTACTTGGTTGACCACTTGACCTGCGCTCCAGCCATCTGCAACTAGCTTCTCAAGAACATCCGAAATGATCTGGTAGGAGGATCCTGACTTCTTCGGACGTATTGCTTTGACGAGATCATCGATGGTCGTGTCCGGAATGACACCAGCAATATCCTCGACGATCTTGACTGTGACCGCCTTCTTGTCCACATCCATCACCTCGTCACCCTGAGCCTCCTTGTCGAGGGCATTAGCGCTGACTAGTCGAGCAGCACTTTGCAAGAAAGTAATGGCTTTTCGAAGATCACCCTCGCTGCATTTGATGAGTGCATCAACAGCGCCGTCCTCGAGTGCCACGCCCTCCTTCTCTGCAATCTCCTCCAGTCGCTTCTTTGCATTGCTCTGATCGAGACTCTTGAAACGAAATTTGCTACATCTACTGGCAAGCGGGTCGATAATTCGAGTCACATAATTGCAAATAAGACAGAATCGAGTTATCTTGCTGTATGTTTCCATGGTTCGTCGCAGTGCGCTTTGGGCATCTTGTGTCATGGAATCGGCCTCGTCGAGGATAATGATCTTGAAAGGAGGGCAAGGGTATTTGTCCTTGTAGCCGGGGGCCGGGTTGGTCAATTGCATTCGCGCAAAGTTCTTGACCTTTTCTCGGACGATGGAGATACCACGCTCATCAGAGGCATTGAGCTCGAGGACTCTCGATTTAATCATATCGGGGCCGTATAGTTCCTTAGCGAGTGCCAGAACTGTCGAAGTTTTACCTGTCCCGGGAGGCCCGTAAAACAGCATGTGAGGGAGCTATGAAGTATTAGTATTGAAGCTTCTTGCAGTTCAGAGCAAGGGGGTGTTGTACGTTGGAGGACTGCAGTGTCCGTTGGAGCACATCAACGGTATGATCTTGAGCAGTAACATCGCTGAGGGTCTTTGGCCGGCTGGGTGTGTTAAGTCTAGAGTAGCATGGTGTATTTCGAGTTTCACGTACTATTTCTCAACCCAGGGTTGTGTTCGAGCATTTGAAGGTTTATCTTGCTTCTGGTCAGCGTTACCGTTGGCTGCCGCTGCTGCCTTTCTGGCCTTGAGGTCGAAAAAGCTAGCCATCTTGATTCAATTATATGCTGGCTTGTTGGACTGCCCGCGGCTGAGCTTGCAGGTGAGAGCGGAGGAAACAGTTTGCGAAATGGTGATATAAAATCACCGACCTTTGATGGGAACTAAAGGAAACCAATTTACGCGTGAAGAAACGCGCAGCGCGTCACTAATGGCAACCACAACCATGGCACTAAGGCAAGGGTCTTGGTAGCCTAACTTCACCCCGCCCGCTGGGCCCACCTCTTTGAGCTCCCGGGTAAGGTAGTTGATGTCGATGTAAATGATAATTGTTGGCGTTCAGGATCTCAAGTGTGTATACGCATTTACTGCTTACAGTTTTGCATTTCTTGTGGGTATTTATTTCGAATTTATTTTCCTTCACAGGGGAAACAAAATAAAGAAAAAAAAAGAAACCTCATACTTGCATTATAGTTACATACACTGTTTTCTCCGACTCTCATTTCGATCCCAGCGCAATCAACCAAGTACCCAGACTTATCGCTTCACTTTACGAAGAATAGGGAGGGGAGAGGGAATCAGAACACCAAATGAAGGGATTAGACATGGAAATTAGCATGGGAGTCTTCTTTTATCCCGTTATTTGTCAGGATACACACCCTTGACCAGCAAATACATTATATAAGGTATCTCACAGTTAAGGGGCAAGCTGGTTCCAGCAGGCAACGATCTCAGGAGCGCTCTACGTCTGTTCGTTTTTATAACATGACGATGATCAGGAACGCTTGTTTAGGAAAATCCAAGACACTGAATATATCTAAGTACTTATGGTCGTGTTGGTGCTGAATTGAGGTTTACTTGATGTGGGAATCACAAATATTTATCCTGATTGCTGTAGTAAAGGCCGTAATAGCTGAGAAGTAGAACAAAGTGAATAATAGCAACCGCATTTCCTTGATACTTACATAACAAACATACATACCCACCTTTTGTTACTCTACTTACCTTGGTACTATAGTAGGTAATGAATGTCGCCTTTTTAGAACCAGAGTATTAATACGTAAAGTTCTGCTGTCGGTTGATAGGTGCTGCTAGCCCCGATGAGCTTCCCGCCTCCCCCACTTTCCTCCTACGGTCTTAATGATTGATACCTGCTCACACAACCCACCTCGAGACTCCAACGTCTACCCTTACATTACCTTACGTTATACTTCACTTACCTTACCTTACCTTAGTAACTTGACATCCACCACCCCAAACGTCACATCGATAACCTCAAACTTGGAAGGAACTTGTCCATGTGCGTCGCGCTCTGCAGTCAGCGCTCGTCCTCAAACATCGACATTTAGACTGCAACATACGAGGCGCTATGGACCAGTCTATCATTCGCATCTCCAAGGTTCGCTGCCCCGCATTCGCTGGCATTTCCCATCCCTTCGTTCACGATCCCACCTTCGAGATACTAACACTATGCCAAGGAGCTGGGTGACATCCAGAAGAACTGTGACTTGTGTATGTCGCCTTTTGCCAAATGGCATATACCACGCATTCGAAAGAAGAAACTGACCACGCGACTGACTACCTTTTATTACAGCGCTCGCCGTAGCATGTCGCGACATCGATGTTCGCAATGTAAAGGCCCTGATCATGGGTCCCCATGAGACTCCCTATGAATTTGGGTTCTTCGAGGTATGTCGTGGGCGCTGCATTTATCCTTGTCTATGTAAAGATGGGCTTACTCAACTCGACAGTTTGCCATTCGGTTCCACAAAGGTAGACACCCCCCGTTACTATGACAAAACTTAGTCTCATATTCGATGACAGAATACCCTTCCAGATCCCCGAGTGTAATTTGTATCACCACAAACGGGGGACGTTGTCGCTTCAACCCCAATGTATACAGCAATGGGAAAGTCTGTCTGTAAGTAATCAGATATTGCAACTTCACTATACTCATGCGCTAACACGGTCAGATCAATTCTAGGGTATTGTAATTGTGTCAAAGATTAGAGGGTTGAACTGACAATAGCTAGAACATGGCGTGGGGAGCGTGGAGAGGAGTGGTCATCTGCGCAAGGACTTGAATCAATCCTATTATCCATCCAAAGTCTCCTATCGTCTAACCCCTACGAAAACGAACCGGGCTTCGAGGATGCCAACGACGAAAGCGACAAGAAAAACCAAAAGGACTATATTCAAAAGGTCTGTTGCCAATTCAAATTACAGGGGAACCTCTAACCCTGGTAGATTCGACACGAGACACTACGTATCAGTGTCATCCAACGTCTGGAAGGCTATCTTGGAATGAACCCCGGTGGCACCCAGTTGCACAGTCTTCCAGGAGCGGATGACATGGATGATGATGACATTGACGAGGCCACCGTCCCCTTCGAGCCTTTCAGAGACCTGTGCAAACGCCGCTTTCTTTGGTATTACGAATCATACCTCGCTGCGATCGAAAAAGGCATATCAGAGACCAAGCCCAACCAGCCTTTTGCAAGAATGCCGTTCGAGTCGCCAGGAAACAACTCAATGGATGGGAAATTCAACTATCCCGAGCTCGGAACCCGCCTGCACACCATCAAGGCTGCTATCGACGCTGAGCCTGAGAGATGGGCCGCGGAGGGCCTGGAAGCTAAGAAGAAGGAGACAACTGTTGCTGTTAATCTTCAGCATCAGTTCGAGCAGGTTGTTGAAGTATTCAAACGAGGCGATATGCCACATGACGTTTTTCTCGAGAACGAGAACCCCTTCGTCTGGGTCATAACCTATTTCGGACGTCCTATGACCAACCTCGACGGTGGTTTGTTCAGAATTAAAATGAACTTCAGCGTCCGTTTCCCCGAAGAGCAACCTCGTGTCAAGTTCGAGACCAAGATCTTTCACCACCACATCGCTGCAGACGGTACAGCATGCTACACTCCAAATCCAATGAAAAGGGAAGATGTACGATCACACATTGATGCCATCTTTGCGATCCTTGAAGATGATGAGCCAGCCTATGACCCACGCAAAATTGTGAACCCGGAAGCGACCAAGATGTACTGGGGAGGAAGCCCAGACGACAAAAAGAAGTACAACCGACGGCTTCGCCGATCCGTACAGCAGAGCATGGAGTCAGTACCTAATCAAGACTCTGCAGTCGTTTCTATGTGCAAGCTAACCGACCTCTACAGGGACTTCCCAGAGTAACCCACATGCTCTGTCAGGCTTAATACCAGGATTTTAGATGAAAATATCACGAGGGCGTACTGGTCAACATCGGGGGCATTGATCTGTTTTTACATGGCGTTGGGGCCTGTGGTTCATATTGAAATGACATGGTCTGAGGATTAGACCATTTCTCTAAAATGCGGTTGACTTGATTTGCCGTGGCCAGGTTGTGATACATGTGTGGCATAATCTACACAAGGCTACCAGACATATGATATACCAACCGAGTCACTCTATTCCCTTGTCCCACAAAGCCTATCCATTCACTCTTGATTTAGGGTTATGAGACCACAGACCTTCCTACAATGAAGGTGTTTTCTTCAAACACAAGCTTGATTGAGAGGTTCAGATACTACACCGTCACCAGAATAAGTGATCGGCATAATCAAAGTGCCGGGTTGTATTGTTTGCACTCTATGAAACGCCATCTATCTATCCTCTAACGCCAATATTTGAATAACATGTATCCATTGCATCAAGGTTCCGCTCAAAAGACAATATTTAGAATCTGTGTATGCGATTTCTTTCGTAAATCATGGTGCCGTTATTTCTCATGACCTCCTACTCTTGGGCTTCTTGTTTAGGCGCTCTTGGGTTGGGTTATAGGGCGCCGCCACACCTTGGTACCTCTCTTGCTTCCCTTCACCTCTGAATTCGTACATACCGTTTGCGCCTATCGTTGCCGGTGTACCCTGGTTGGGACGTGCGACTTGTTCGTTGTGAAGTTTGTCGAGGGAGTCACCGACCACAGCGTATTGCGACCAGTTGATGGGTGGGCAGCGAACCACATTTTGCGGCTGGGGAAGATTCGTCCATGCTGGTGGCTGGGTAGCGATGCGCTGCTTGGAGGACCCTTCACCGGGGTCTTGTTGATTGCCGGTGTCTTGACCGCTCATCGCTGTATCTTCACCTTCGCTATCGCTAGCGCTATCATTTTCAGGCGCATTAATCTTGCCTGCGACAAGGTCTTTTATGAAAGCTTCAGGGTCCTGGACGGCTTCATCTTTTGCGCGACTGAGAGCCTGTATGTCGGCAGTAGCACGCTGTCGCTGAATTTGTAAAATGGAAATCGCCGACTTGAGCGCAATGACGTCTGGGTTGGAATCAAAGGCTATTGGTTGAGGTGCAGGCGGTGGTATCGCAGTCTGGTCGGGCTGTGAATGTGTAAGGCTTGGACGACCGCCAGCGCTGGCGCTTGCGCTTACGCTTGTAGCTTCAGTCGCCGGGCGTTGGGTAGGACGCAAGGGAGGTGTGATAGGGGAAACAGGCGGTCGAGTCGGAGAAGGAGGATTGTTGCTGGGAGGGTTGTCGGTGTTGATTGTGAGGGCGGGCATGATCGAGTTGCGCCGCTGAAGAAATTGCTTTTGTTGACTCTGACAAAGATGTAAGCTCTTGCGCAGGTTGATTGTGAGCTAGGCACCGAAGAACGGAGACGTCACGGGAGAGAGCTCCGGACAACGGCGGAGGAGGAAGTGAAAATGGCCCAATAGGAACAAAGACGTGGGACACAGGACCGAAGATGAGGGAAATGCAAAGAGAAGTGGACGGGACGGGACGGAATCGGGACGCTTGGTAAAAGCAGCCCAGGACATGCAACGGATGTCAGGTGTCTCAACAAGGTAATCGGGCTGTCGTGACCCCTCTGAAGAAGCAGCTTATGGCGGGGTCAGCTAAGTCTGATTAACTAAGGTACTTAAGCCTCGGGGAGCAAGAAAACACCGGACCTTGATATAGGGTGTTAAAATAAACTTAGAAAAGAGCCCCCTAAACTTAGGCTAGATTTGCCTAAATATTCTTTTCGCTTAGGGTTAAGGTCCTGTGTTTTCTTTCCTCCCCTAGCTAAGGCAAGGTGCGGCTTTTGGATGTAACGTCAGATGCATATACATAGGTAGCGGTCTATTTCTGTTTCGGAAGAATCGTGCAAGGGTAAAAGGTCAGTCTAACTATGCACAGATACAGAGCGAGACCTAAGCGCATGAATGTGGCAAGTAGGTTTATTTTCAGAGAAGGCGCCAGGACTTCTCCATTTACTAGGGCATCGTGAGGTTCCCAAGCGTCTCAGCCTCAGCTCAGTAAGGTTGTGTCTCGGTGAATCAGTGAAAGAGTGGACCACAGTGGCTTTGAAACAGTAAAGATACCTATGGATGCATACCTAGGTATGGATGGCTAGGATGAACCCTGTAGACATCTCCCTAAATATTTAACGATCGGACAAGATCTGGCACCAGCTCCGATGCGAGTAAGCACAGACCATCCCAACTGTAATTTGGCCATCTGAGACATTCACTTCACTTCCGTTTCTCCAAAGGCACAAACACAAATGAACAGGGACAAGCCGGCTCCTTTTGCTGCAGGGGCGCGCGTCTTCAGAGGGATATGGTCTCACAGAATCACAATGACGAGCTCTTATCATGCGCCAGTATGCACTAAAGTGGAGTTGACATCACAAAGCTGCCCTAAGAGGCTGAAATACATCGTTGCTCCCTGTCGAGACTCGAGAGGTACAATGTCTCAGCCATGAAGAGGTGTGGTGGGGGGCGATTTTTACCCTTTTCGACTGTTGACGAGCACATGTGTACGGAGTACAGAGAAGAAGAAAAGCATCAAGGGACTACTGAATAAGAGAGGATGTCTGAGCATTCATGGAGGTCAGAAGGGAAGGCTTGTCATGAGAGTAACATGGCCTGGGGTCAAAGGACGTATGCATTATCTGGTAGCGTCATGTTGAGCACTTGGGCACTTGTCTTTTCGCCTCTTGCCACGCTCAGCCAAGATGGCTAAAGATGGGTGACGTTGCTATCTCCCCGCGTGCGAGCCAAGTCATCCAGCCTGTTAGGTAGGTTCAACGTCGAACCGAGATTTGTCGATCATTTGGTCTCGACTCCCATTGTACCAAGCTCTCGGAAAGCTTCTGAACACAATAGGTCTCAGACATACTTCCGCGTCCAAAAAGAGCGAGAGAGTCAGACTTCTGGCTTGATATTCGAGCGCCATCTCAGCCTTTGTGCATTAGCGGCCTGACGCTCAGCCAAGATGGCTTTGGCTTTGGCTTTGTGCACCGAGACACGGCATCTACCAAGCCTTCGTAAAAGACGTTGCTGGTAGTCAGGGGCATGGGAAATAAAAGCGGAAGACGATAAACTCTGCTGTGGGCTGTGTAGAGCAATCCGAAAATGCCTCCAGCTAACGGAGCACAGTTCCGTTGGTGTCGTGCAGTAGTGAACTCTGTTAGCAAACATCATGAGCTAGGGTAGCTTAGTAGTAAGTACTGTACTGAGTGAATGATTAGCATACTTCAGCATGTGCTTCATCAAGAGGGTTGTTGACTTTTCAATAGCTTGACGACCTGATCGACAAGTCGAGTGCCATGAATACCCGTAGGCCGCATAATTAATTGCTTTTTCTGTATCACTTGATCTGAGGCCCAGCCAGCCACCCTGCCACCCAAAACATCAACGTGAGATGCTGCAGAATACAATGCTGCAGATTTCCGGTCTGGTTAATGATCGTCAGTAGAGGCGTTTAACACTTTTGCGTTATATAAAAACGAAGAAACCGGTATCCTCGTGTTGAGAAGATAGTCTACACTTTGACGCCTTTCAAAAGAGCCGGCCTCGCAACAAGAACGGAATTGACAAAGGGTGCCTCGGCATTTAGCACTAGCCCATCCTTTTCAAGCAGGGCCAATTCACCTGTTGAACTCGCCGTCAAACTTTCGGAGACAGCTCCAACTACTGCAGAGACCAAGACAAAGCCACAAGCCTCAAGGTCTCGCCGTTGCATTGTCCCGCGAGAGGGACCCTGGCTTCATAGCGACTCTCATCCAATCAGTAGCCCAAGTGAGCAATTTTCGTGTTGGCTCTTCAGCTCGACATAGAACCTAGACCAAGATCGGAAATCGTAGACCACTTTGTGAGGGTGTGATGGAGTTGAAGTGACGCTGGAGGCTTGTGACAAGGATGAATGGATGGATAGATGGATGGATGGATGGGTAAGGTAATGCACGTCAAGTACCTCTGCTTGTACTATTGGACGCTGCCAAGGTTGATTATTGGTTTTCTTTCTTATGCCATGGAACAAGGTCAGTACTTTTGGATAGCTGAAGGGTATTTGACTCTTCGACTCTTACTTGAAATCCTCTCTACCCCGTGATTTATGACGATAACCTCTGTCTCTCTGACCTGACATCTCCATCATCCATCATATATCACCCTTTCTCTCAACCTCAGAAACCCCTGTAATAGTTTTTCTCGTTGCTCCTTTTCTTGTTTCTTCCTCTTCCAGAAGTAATAGTTCTTTTTTACATTCCATCCAGCCCGCGATCCTCTAGCTGCCGTCGGCAGTGCTTCCATTTATGCGTTGCACGACTCGCGCACTTGCACCGTCCTGCCACTACCGCCGTTGACGTCCAACGCCAAAGCTTTGGGGCCACACAATCATAGCTATTCTATCTGTTCCTGCATTTGTCAGTATCGAATTCAGAACTCCTTGTCGTCTGCCAGGGAAGAATACTTCTTGCGACATCGAGGTCTCAAGAGGCGACATCTCCAAGATCACCAGCATCACATGGTTGAGGACTATGCCTAATCTAGATACGCCTGGCTTTTCAAAATATTCATTTATTCAAGGCATACCCTGAAAATACCGGGTGGCGTATTATCCCTTCGCAGGCCTATACAGGCTGTTGGATCTCTTAAACCAATCGACGCCTTGGCCTATATGTCAGAGGCCCTCCACTAATCCATATCATTCACCAAATTTCCAACTGGACTATTGAAATACACTCAGCTTGGTGCTTCTCACGAGCCTCCCATACATCAAATCATGTCATCTTCTACCAGATCAACCACAGAGACACTTGTCAGTCCCAGGTCGTTAGCTTTCATACCACGCCACCCACAATCTGAATATGACCCGTCTCTCTGTGGGAACGATAGATCAAGAACTTCCATGTCATCAACAGACACGAGAAAGTCCAAGAAGGAAAAATCACGATGGTTCACTCAAGTCAAGGATTGGTTGTCAGTGGCTGAGCCATCAGCACAAGCCATGAGGGAACAAAAGAAGAACACCTACAGACGGCACAATATCGACATGAAGGACCCTCAAGCGGCTCTCAAGCTGCATTTGCCTATTGGTAAAATACCCGACAACGCCATCACTTCGACACGAGGACCCAGCCCCGAGAAGGCACTCGAGCGTGCACGGCAGCAACGAGAAGAGACACAGTCATATTCAGGTCTCAGTCAAGCGTCCCACTCGGTATCGAGCAGTATCAGTACAGTCCCGAGTGCCAAGGAATACAATCCTGTTACTCCTTGGGACACTTGAGGTCAGAAGCAATGTCTGTTATGGAGTAATGTGTAACGATGTATGAAATAAGGAGATCAGGATATATACGCTGGTTAATGTCCTCCGTCGTAGATGCGGGAAGTTCACCTGGAATAGGGTCAAAAACGAGAGATACAGAGATACCCTGTCACGATTGCGGGAAGATGGATAATTTTGGCGCGCTCATTGTCACTTTCATTTTGCTACTTACGATACAAATTTAATGAATTATTTTAGGCGCATGGCTTTCATATCGTTATTACTCTAGAGTTGAATTGACAGAACTGGACCAAGAAGTGATACTCCAAGACGTCCGGGGTAGAGTAAAGACACCTCCTAGTTTTCCATCATCTCAATGAACGAACGATGTGAATGTCTCATAAACAAGAATTTAATAAGTTTTGCCGCCATGGACGGAGCAGAAATATAGGTGGACTTCGTAGTGAAATTATTTTAAGATATTCTTGATTATTGTGTTATGATGATGTTATACAACCGTCATTGGGGGCACCAGCAGGGGGCGTGGTAACTTGTAAGATGGCAAATGCCGAGAAGATTCGGCCAGCCAAGAACTGATTACATATTATTTAATACTGACTTGGAGCTGTAAAGAAGAAGTCTATCTATCATATGATCTGGAGCATGTGATGATCAATAATGCACGGAACTATCCTTCACTACCTCACAATTAGGACCTTGACCAAGTCGCTTTATGGCGCATCATTGCGATCTTCCTCCCTTCCAGTGATGGCTAACTCAATTGCTGCCCTGTTTTTGCAATCCGAAACGCAAAACTCTTGATCAAGTGGCCATGTTAAACCGCAATTGTTTTGGGGAAAAGCCAAGCTTCAGCTCCAAACTCTATCTCCCGGAGCTTGTGTCCGCACTAGTACTCCCTGGTGAGCGATTAACGATGGTGATTGGCCATGTTCAATCCGGGAGCTGAAATGGCTGGCCTATGACGTATTCTACTTTTTAGCCTCTTCATCATGGATACCTTACGTTAGCACCTGGCTGGTCCATGGGTTTATATAGAACCCAGGGACAAGTTTGAGATTAGAGAGACGTCTAGAAATGAATTGGGCTTTTTTCTGTCAATGTTGTATTGCATGCGTCACTAGCGATTGATTTCTGACAGGATAATTTGCATCCATATTCACACCTTTCTCTCACTTACCCACCTACACTCTTACACTGAGACCTTCAACCAGCAGCAGCCATCAACTGAGAAACAAACAATATAGGTTCTCACTCCTAAAATGCCTCTATTCTCATCCCCAAAAGATTCAAGCGAAGACCGACCATACAGTACAAATGGATCTGCTCGTATCAACGACCCCGAGGAGGGTGAACAGGCTGTGCCAGATGAGCACACTCGACTGCTCCCGAACCGCGTCAACTCAACTCAGCCTGGCCTACTTGCCCCCGATGATCCCGCAGTCTCGCCCTATAACCTCTGGAGCATCCGAGCTTTGCGATACTTGACAATTGCTTTCACCCTGATAGCACTCGTTTGGTGGATTCTGCTTCTTGTCTCTACTTTTGTGACGCCCCCTGGCATTGGAACTCGTGGCAGTCCTTGGTTTGCTTTTGGATTCGCGACGTGGACACTTGCGAATCTCATCTTTACACTTCTTTTCTTTGAGGTGCCATCCAAATCTGTCAGGATTCTTGCCATCTTCATCTCCGTAAGTCTGCACAATTGGAACTGCTGCATTTGGCCATGCTTACTCACACTACAGATAGGGCGTTATCCTCCTCGATATGGTTCTCATCCTGTCCGTTCAAAAGACTCGATATGAAGAGGGCTGGGTCGGTGCTGCTACTGTCATCTGGGCACTACTCACCAGTCTCTGGACTCTGGTGGTTGATCGAACTGTCAAATGGGGCAAGGCTGAAGAAGAGGAACGCTTGACAGGTCGGGCTGAGACGAGACGAACCTTGTTCGAATGGTCCGCGGTCATGATTTCAACGGTCGCCTACGCCATCATGTCAGTGGCTGTGTTCCTTATCACTCTAACCATTATCCTACGAGCCCTCGACGCCGGTGTGTCACACCCAGGAAAGCTGTATCCGGTTGATAACGGGAAATATCGCATTCACGTTTACTGCCACGGCAACAAGACCGACTCCAAGGGCAACGATCTCCCCACCGTATTGTTCGAAGCCGGCGAACGAACCGTAGAATACGACTTCTGGGGCTTTGCGGATAACGCCGTCAAGAATGGTTCCATTTCACGGTACTGCTTCGCCGATCGACCTGGCTACGGTTGGTCGGATAACGCACCCTCTCCATCATCAGCAGGCTTCGTGGTTGATACCCTCGGTGAGGCACTGGCTGGTGCTGGCGAGAGCGGGCCATGGATCCTCGCAAGTGCCGGAATCGGATCGATTTATTCAAGAGTCTTCTCCGCCCGCCACGGGGATCACATCAAAGGTCTGCTCCTCGTCGATCCCCTACATGAGGATCTTCTCGACGACGTTGCATCTCCCGGCCGAGGATTTGTTCTCTGGCTCTGGGGCGTCATCTCCCCACTCGGCCTGGACCGAATCCCCGGTGCCATCTTCCACGGACGAACGAGCCGCGACCGAGTGTACGGACGATCGGCCCAGCAGAATGGCAAGTTCATCTTTGCTAAACTGCAGGAGAGTTTGGTCGCTGGTTCGTTCACTCGGCGAGATGCGCTGACCAGCCGTCAGATCCAGGACAAGGATACGCCGCTTGTTGTTATTAGCTCCGGCAAGCACATCAAGGATAGCCATACATGGGAGAAGAAACAGCGAGACCTGACCAAGTTGACCAAGAACCTCAAGAACTGGGACATCGTCGATGGAGCACCCCATGAGGTTTGGAGGACACTTGAGGGCCGACAGAAGATCGAGAAGAGACTCAAGGAGCTAGTGCATGCTTGAGAATTGTTAAATGTTTGATGATAACTAATGTTGGAAATCTCCTTCAGATGCTACACACAGCCGAACCTGCACGTGCCTTGTCTATCAGCATCTGGAGACCTCGAGGATGATGCCAGGGTTGATATGATGCTCATGAGACTGGGGGTTGACGGGAAACTTGTGGAGCATTTTTCAAGGATCGGATTGACTATGTGTATGTGCATGAGCATCAGTAATGCGTGGCTTGGCTTTTTCTGATGTACACCTTGAAACGACAAGAATGTTTTTATGGCTTCATTATATTTTGTGATCACTGGCAATCAGCCGTAGCATGTATACGTATAACTTAATTATTTCAGTATCAAAATACCAGTCGAGCAACACAGAACGTGAAGCCAAAGGCTGGTAAGCAAAACGACACAGCACAACAAGAGTGTTTTGATTCATAGGTAGGTAATGCGTCACAGCATTTCATTTTATCGCTTTGACACTGGCCTCAATCTCCAGATACCGATGCTACGCACACTATCAAGGCGACTGCCATGAGTTCCATCCACCTCCGTCGCACATAGCCCTCTTATTCGACTTCACATTCTCTGTACAGTTGTCTAGTGCATGGCTTGTGTTGGCGTTTCTTGGACGTGGCCCCCCAACTATTCCTCCACACCTACTACACGTGATAAGATCTTCATCGGAGCAATTTCCAACACGGCAAGGTTATTTGCAGTAGCGTACTATGAAAGAAGGAATCTGACTGTGCTTCCTCGATCCTCTACTCCGTAGTGAGACGATAAATCTCCTCCCCCTCTTATGTCTCTCTGCTGATAGTTAGCCTGTTTCGTTTCCGGGCTCGAAGGGGGAATCTGGGGACTGGAATGACCTCATAACCTCAGATGGTGAGAAACAAAGTAGTGCTGGGTGCTGAAGAGACTAACTAATAGAGTAAGCCGTGCTATGTCTATTACCCAGGCAGGGCCAGCTTTGACCTTTCACCTACCTACTAGTGCTGCAGCTCCCAGTCAGAGGCTCAGGCTGACTTCAGGCGGAGACATTCCCAGCAACGCCCAGTGGACAAGCATGGGTTCAGTCTTGTCACTTTTTGAGTCAAGGATCATAGGTACTGTACCTAGTTGAGACTTGAGAGGTGAGGCATGCACTGTAATTTCTGACTCCATATTGAGAACGACACACACGAAAGTTGCTTGAGTGACATCCTCGGGGATGGACCCTAATATTTGCTGACGATATGGAATTGTTGTTTCTGGCCCCTCCTCCTTTTTCTTCTTCTTTTTGTCTGAGAAACATCCTGTGGTTGAAGGGGGAGAAAATAGCATGAAACTGCCTTGATATCTTATATTAGTACAGAAAAAGTGCCTAACAACGACCCAGTATCAATCCTTCGAGGGCTGTGCTGGCGGAGACATGCATGCATATATATATATGTCGCTGAACCTGCACCTGAACAAGTGAAGGATGGAAGCAAGATTCGAAACAATGGATTCACCGTTTATTTTTATTATAGTGTGAATGGATCTCACTAAATCTCATGTCCCTCGGATTCAGACGTGGATCCTCATCGCCTGGAAATTACAGTAAATTAATATTTCGATGTATTCAAACGCCCCCAATACAAACAGGGCCCACCTGGACTCCATCCTCCCATTAGAGCCCACCAGCATCTCACCTTTCGTTCGTTGGACTGTGTCAAGCCCAGCATCTGCATAAGGCAACGGTCCCTTGCTTTGCTGCACGCACGCACTGCACGCATTGGCGGTTGTCATTGACTCGATGCACTTTTGTTCCTCGACTACCCTGGGTCCTGGGTCTTTGAGCCAGATACGGAGTACTTTTTTCATCTTCTCTTGTGCTCGAATCTCAAGTCCATCTCATGACTATCTGTTGGACCGTAGCTGATGCTGCTATCCGGTCGCCCAGGTACTAGTGCTCAGTTTGTCCCTCCTGAGACCATTTTTAGTTAGCCCCGTCCCTTATTTGGAGCTGATCTGGCGTTGAATCTGTCGCCCAGTCTCATCTAGGCACTGTACCAATAGCCCCCGCCAAGGTTGCCTCCACTGGTACCCGACCTTTGCCCCTAGTAGGAAATGTGTAAGGTAGTAAGTATAGTAAGGTCCTGAATGTCCAGGTCGAATGCTTCAATCTAAAAGTATCTGACCTCTAATCCCCTATTGCAGCACACGCTGGAGGTACCTCTTCACGGCGTGTCTAGTAGGTATCCTTGGGCCCTGGGCTCTCCACCACCATCACCACAACTGCCCTCAGCTCCCCTGCCGCCAGGCGCCTCCTGCTCTGCTGCTACCTCCATATTCTACTCCATACACCGTATCCATACCTCTCTCACTTTACATGCCTTACCTTACACTCTCACGACAGGCTTCGACTTTTATCTCCCACGCTCCTTCATCCCACGCTGCCGCAGACGCGCTGCGCCGCGCTTGTATCGATCGCATCTTCTTCCATTGTCTCTTTTTTCCCTTCTCCGCTTCAGCCTTACTGTCTACCTAGGTACGGTGCAGTGCCTGCTCCAGCCTCACTTAAGGTACAACTAGACTAGGTCGATCGGGTCTTGGTTGTCTTGTGCCGCACCACACTACATCGCTTCTTCGCTGCCACCGACTTGCTCCTCCTGTCGCCTTTCATCATCCCAGTCCGAGCTGGGTGGGCTTATTGTTCGACTGTCACGCGAACACCAGATAGTGCTCGATCTTTCCCATCCCACCAACGATACAGAATCTCACCGTGTTGAATTAGTCGCCCGACTTCGCCAATTGGTCGATCAAGTCCTTGTTGCTGCCGTCGTTGCTTTTCTCTCAGCTGGTGCTGATGCCGACCGCTGCAAACGCCTGTCGACCCGCGCTGGAAATTTGGTCTCGATAGGCCATTCGTGCTTGACTGGTTTGGAGCGAGGAGGGGGAATTGTGTTATAGCGACGTCCTGCATTGCTTTCACGATGGCGTCGAGCTACGACGACGCCATGCTCGGCGAGCATGGCCATGGCGACCACGGCCATGGCGACCACTCCCACGACTATCACGCCCAGGACATGCCCCCGCATGCCGATTCAAACTGGCAGAACGGTGGTCAAATATACAGAACTCGCACACCCGACAACGGCAGCTATCGACCGCGGCCACCCGCCTCCGCACCAGGTACACCGAACCCCCCCGGATGGACTGAGGACCAGCCGCCCCGCAAAAGTGCTGAGCGGAACAGGTCGCGAGGTCGAAGTGGGAGATCCGCCAGCGGCCAGACAAGGACGTGCCAGGCGTGCGGTGAGCCCTTGACGGGTCAGTTTGTGCGAGCTCTTGATGGAACATTCCATCTTGATTGCTTCAAGTGCCAGGTGCGAACCCCCAGGCCGACCCTGTTCTCCTCGATCACGGCAAGATACTAATCTTTGACTAATAGGATTGCGGGGAGATAGTGGCCTCAAAGTTCTTCCCTGCCGAAGATGAAAATGGCCGGGGACAATATCCTCTGTGCGAAACCGACTACTTTCGTCGACTTGGCCTCCTTTGCTACCAGTGCGGGGGAGCGCTCCGCGGATCCTATATCACGGCCCTAGACCGAAAGTACCACGTCGATCATTTTACTTGCTCATTATGCTCAACAATATTCGGCGCTCAGGATAGCTATTACGAACATGACGGAAACGTCTACTGCCACTATCATTATTCCACACAGTTCGCGCAGCAGTGCAATGGCTGCCAAACAGCCATTCTAAAGCAGTTCGTCGAGATCTTCAGAAATGGCCAAAACCAGCATTGGCACCCCGAGTGCTACATGATTCACAAATTCTGGAATGTGCGGTTAGCGCAACCCACGGACGCGCGACCTGCGCTGGAAAGTTCGGACGATGCTGCGGGCAGAGACCTCATCCGTGTGGAGGAAGAGCGCATGGAAGAGAAGGTGTTCCGTATATGGAGCGTCCTGTCGACCTTCGAAGAGTCCTCTGCTGCTTGCATTTCTGACATGCTGCTTCATGTCAGCAATGGCTCATATGTTGAGGGTGTTTTTGTTGCCAAGCGCTTTATCTGGCACGTTGAAATATTGTTCCAGTCAGCAGATCGCCTGGATGAGACTATGGTGGGCTTGAACGAAAAAGGTACAGTCTCAAAACTTGAATGTGAGATGCACGAGATCTGACTTTGTGCTTAGGGATGTCATACGGGCGGGAAGCCAAATTATTATGCAAGAAGATCGTTTCCTTCTTCTCTCTACTTTCCAAGACACAAGACAACGCTACTCACAAACTCGGTGTCACACAAGAGCTGCTGTCCCTTGTCACAGGTCTTGCCCATTATCTCAAGCTTCTAATTCGAATCTGCCTTCAGGGTGCCCTCCGTCTTGAGCGCGAAGCTAGCGCATCCACAGGCCTGTACCAGTTCCTAGATGATTTGAGCGACCTTGACGCAGTAAAGAATGATGACGGTCAGCTGTCGGTGACTGCAAGCGGCGGAAAGCTCTCTGCCAACGACTCTGACCACTGCTCTCTTTGCCACAGGTCTGTTGAGGACGAGTGTGCCAAGAATGGCGACCTGAGGTGGCACCTGAATTGTGTTAAGTGCACAAGGTGCGGGCGAGATGTTGGACGATCGTTACAAGAGGCTTGTCTCAACGCATTGGATCGAAAGATATATTGCACCAACTGTGCTGGAGCCAACGCCTTACCACTCGAGCACGTCTCAAAACTACAGCAATATGTTTTTCTACTTCGAGTCGCATTGGCTCGGCTGTTGGATATTCTTAAAGCTAATGGAACTCTCCCGCGATCCAAAGATGACACCGATAATAACGGATATGGTACAGGCGATGGTCAGGGAAGTGACCCGAGGTCAAGAGGAGGAGACTCACAGTCACGTGGACCCGGTGGCAGCAAACGAGAGTCGTCTTATGAGAACACTCTTAATGATGTACGCAGGCTACGCAGTACGCGACTGGATAGGCACCTGTCGTCCAGTGCTCGACAAGCCCGAAGCTCTCGAGTGATGGACACTGATGGCAAGGGCCCTCGCCCAGGTTCATCTGGTGATGCCGGGCAGGGTCACGGTGCACAAGGCTCGACCGACATTATGTTTGGACAAAATGATGGTATCACTTTAGATGATATCTCACGGATAGTTGCTGTCGAGCAGTCCCGAGATCTGCAGCAGAAAGCACCACAGCCCTTTCAAGATCGATCGCTAGATCCATCATCTTCAGACCAGGGTCATCTGCGGACGCAGTCAGCCGACCGAGAGCGCACCGAAACAGTGCAAGAGCGAATTGGGCGAAGGTTTTTCTCTGAACTTTCTGGTCTCGAGTACTTCAACGTCCGCCATCTTGCCGTTCTCACCATGCAGCCCATGATTGAGCAAGAATTCTCACTGGATGAACTACTGAGCTTCATTGAGTCGCGTAAACAGGGGGTGACTTTCTGGAAGAATATCGGAAAAGCCTTTAAGAATGATAAGAGCAAGAACGTCAAGAAAAAAGGTGTGTTCGGTGTACCTCTCGAGATAATCATCGAGAGGGATGGTGCGGAATCGACAGACGGTGTTGGTCCGGGCACGCTTCGAATCCCAGCTGTTATCGATGACATTGTGTCGTCGATGCGTAAGATGGATCTCTCGGTTGAGGGCGTGTTCCGAAAGAACGGTAACATCAAAAAGCAGCAAGGCCTGGTGGATACCATCAACGCTGAAGGTTGTGACGTGGTTAACTTTATGGAGCAGCCCGTCGTTCAGCTTGCTGCGCTTCTCAAACGTTACCTGCGAGATCTCCCAGATCCGCTGATGACTCACAAGCTATACAGGCTATGGATCAGTGCAGCCAAGATTTCGGACCCTGAGAAGAGAAAGCGGTGCCTGCACTTGACCTGCTGTCTCCTACCAAAGAGCCACCGAGACTGTCTTGAGATTCTGTTCAGTTTCCTGAAGTGGGCTGGAACGTTTCACCAGCTGGATGAAGACCTTGGTTCTAAGATGGATACGAGAAATCTTGCCACCGTCATTGCGCCTAATATCCTAACAAATCCCAATAGGGCACCTGCTTTAGATAGCGAGGCTATGTATGTTATTGATGCCGTGGAAATGATGATTACACATATCGAGGAAATGTGCCAGGTAAGAATCGGCATTCTCTAGGGTGGTGGCCATTATGTTGACCTTTTCTAGGTTCCCGATGAGATCCTTGGTCTCATGAACGACCCTTATATCTTTACCAACAGTGGAGACCTCACAACGAAGGATATTCTGAAGCGATTCCAAGATCGACGGGGACAGATTTCTATTGCTGATGTAAACGAGGTCTACAACCGTCAGGATAACTCCACCCGACCACCAGCTCGGCGAGTAGAAACTGACCCAGCAGTTTGGCAGGGTGAAGCCACTGTTCGCACGATACAAGACCCTTCAATGCCTAACCCCAGCAATGGGCATGGCACTCCCCCGTCGCGATTCCGAGGACGAAACGATCTGGGCAATGCTTCGCCTTATGGGGTCAACCAGTTCAACCAGTCGGACAGTCAGCTCGATAGCGCCGAGCACAGCAGGAGGCGAGAATGGCGTAACTCTGGTATGGGACGTCAAGGCAGCGGACTTGGTGTGTCCGGCAACTCATGATATTTGTCTTTTGCAATGACATTCTTGATTACAGCTGGGCCCGGAAACGCCCAGCGCCGAGCTTCGTTTCGTTATTCTACATGCAGTTCAGGAGGTATGATTTGGGAGTAGAGAGTTATTTGCATAGTCGACGGCGCTCCTCTTCGCTTCTTCCATCAGGCTTATATATGCTACCTATATCAGAGCATACAACTGTCGAACAAACAGGGAAAAAGGCATTTTACCAATCACAGAACCCTTGGCATTCATCGTTTTCTACACCACACCACACGACAACCCTGGTAGTTTTCTTCTTCTTTCTTTGGGAAGCTGAGATGATGATCTCGCTCCTATCACTATTCCCTTCTCGACACTCAACTTCATGCCATGCATGTTCTCTTCACCTAAATGGCATGAGAGATACATGTCTGCCAATCCCATCTTCTCTTGGGTTTAGTGTTTGTTCTTTGGGCAGGGGAAGGGCTGGAGGTCTATACCTTTTTCTTAGGAAACAAAAGGGGATACTAAGAGAGGTTGTTGTTATGTTTGCTTTTTCTTTTTCTATCTTCGGTTCTCTTTCTACCTTCTTCTATACCTGAGTTGGATGGAGTAAACCATGTTAGCGGGTTGATTCCCATTGGAGTGTTGAGACCGGACAAGGCGAAGCGAAGCGAGGCGAGATCTAGGTGAAGAGGATCATTGACTCCTCGTACAAAATAAAAAGTGCATGCGTGTGTGCTGGGTCAGATGTGAGGATGTAAGCTACCTTAGTTTATGTTGGCTTCATTCTGGGATCTTGGTCACGCATTTAAGTGACGACAAGCGAGATAGGAACAATAGATTAGGCATGTTCCGTTTGGATACTTACTTACGACTGAATGACTGGACCTTGGTCTTACCTGCTTGGATAAAACTAGAATTATTCTATTCAAACCATGGGATCTGGCGCTGATATTATAAGATACTATATTCTAACTGAACGTCCGGCTACTTGAATCATGTCACGCTGATGTGTCTTGTTGGGCAAGTCTAATATGTACTTGAAGCTGAATCTTCGTACGTAGACTAAACGATATATAATTAAAGATACCACATATTGAATATTTTAGGCCGAAATATGCTGTCGTGACCTGATATGAAGTTTTTACCACATTCGCCTCTTTCTCTCCCTTTAGATAGGAGCCCCCTCTTATTCATTTCTCTCATTACTAGTAAAATTAAGCCTTGACAGCGGCAGCGGCAGCAGCCGCCTTGTCCTGCTCGAGGAACCAGTTCACGCCACGATCGATGCCCTCCTTCAGGGACCAGACAGGCTGGTAGCGCAGAGCACGCTTGGCCTTGTTGATGTTGTAGTAGCGGGTCATGCAGCTCATAATGATAGACTTGCGAGTGAGAGTGGGGGTCTTTCCGAGAATGTTGGCGAGAACCTCACTGATATAGCCGATGGCGATGCCGACCTCGCGGTTGAGACCCCAATTGCCTTCCGTACCCTTATCATAACCGGCGGCACGCCAGATGGCACGGGCAAAGTCCCAGAAGTAAACAGGTGTGTCGTTTGTAATGAAGAAAGCCTCGCCGTCAACGCGCTCATGATCAAGGGGAATAGTGGGAGAGGCAGCGGTGGCGAGGAGGAGCTGTGCAGCGAGGAGGTGGGCATGGGCGACGTTGCCGACATAGGTGAAGTCGAAGAGGTTCTCGTTGGCGCCGACTTGAATTGTGTGCTTGCCGCGCTTGTAGGCATTGAGAATGCCTGCGAGAGTCTGGACGTCGCCTTCGCCAAAGATACCAGCGGGACGGATGGAGGTCGTGAGAAGCTTGCAGCCCTCCTGGCGGTTGGCCTTGAGAACGATCTCCTCTGCTTGTGCCTGCAGGTAGTGCCTTGTTAGCGAGACAGTCTTGGACGACCTGAATGAATGTGGCGTGAGCAAACCTTGGTCTCTGAATAGTACTCAGTCTGCGCCGCACCACGGATCAAAGGCCACCTCTCGTCAGCGTTGAGCAGATCAGTAACGTTGTCGCTGATGACACTGGCAGAGCTTGTATACACAAGAACCTTGACACCCGTCTTTTGGCAGGCATCGACAACAGCCTGTGTACCATCGACGTTGACCTTCTTGAACACATCATGACCGATATTGGGGTTGACAGCAACAGGAGAGGCTGTGTGGATGACAACGTCGGGCTTGAGCTCCTCGAATAGAGACAGAAGCCTCTCGGGGTCGGTGATGTCGCATTCCCGGTACTCGGCCTTGGGATTGCGATTGCGCTCGCATCGTAAGTCGACGCCGATAATGGCAGTGGTTGTCCATTGCTCCAGGGCCTGGTTGACGATGTGATGGCCTAGAAAGCCATTGCCGCCAATGACGATAACTCTCCCGAGAGGACCTCTAGATTTTGTCTTTTCAGCCATCGTCTGTGGTGCGTGTCTGCTCTGCCTGCGTATGATGTGAGAGTGCGGTAGCAGTACGAGTCGAGGAGGTGGGAAGGGTAAGCCAGAGCGAGAGAGTCTCTTGATAATATCCTGGGGTATGGCCACTGTAGGGATAGCGCTAATTTGATGGTGAGAGCAGGGGTCCTCTTCTGTGTGGCTGATATCTTAGGCTAATGGGAATATGGTGGGGGTTGTAGCACCTCCACAACTTTAGATGCCTACTGTAGCAACCAATCAGTGTATCAGCTCCTTAAATCTTCAGCGGCCTCATCAACTGAGTTACCTCTGTACGTCTACGGCGTGAATCGATATCGTGTGTCACGAGACTTCACTTCTTCCTCTTTACTCTCTCGCCTTTCCTGACTCCTCAGGAATACCATAACCACTATTCTTGTTTCTTGTTCTCTTTTCAACCCGCCTACAACTTCATTCCATATACCTTCACCCTTGTCTCACCTGGCTCGTGCTCTCTCTCTTTTACTTGCTATTTTAAACCACTTTGGATATAAACAACATCCAATATCGACCTTGTGGACAACATTTTCTTTACTCTCCAGCACGATTGCTCATCTCCTCTCCTTTTCTATTGGGAAACAGTGTTTTTGGGCGAGAAGCAGTCGACATGCTTTACTGGCATTCAAACTATGGCAAGGAACAGCTCGGACGGGGTAGAGATTCTTGTCCACATCACAGCACCAAGTCGGTCAACCGATGATGTTTCATATCGACAACTTGCCCAAGCTTATCTAGCCTTTGAGCCTCACGTGCGCACACAACTTTCTGTGGTAGAACCGCAGACAGTTGAGGAACAACAGCGTGTGCCAGACAGATATCAAGGGGCGCCATCGCCAAGCCAGACCAGGGTAACAACTTCGTTTGGACGATCATTTGAGATCACATCCCAAGATCTAAGTTTCGAAGGAGCTATAGACAATCGATCATCACCATGTCTGCCGCGTGAGGCATTGGCTCGGAGTGCGATCCCCTCGTCGGACCATACTAGTTCAGGGTCAATCAACTCCTGGTGTGCGCCTGCGAGTCAAATCAGTGACTCGTATCCCATGCCAGATGCTGCGCTCTTGGACGTTTCTCCGTCACGTATACTACAGAGCTACGTCCGAAGAACTCAGTCATCGCAGGAACCATATTCGTCGCCAACTGCGCATAAGAAGCGTCCTCCGGTACCAGATTTTGGAACCAGCGTCGAAATCCCCTCTTCCCTACCACCTCACATTCAAGAAGAAACCTGGCCTCTCGAGGCCCCTGAGATCACAGATATCGTACCTACGACGCCACAAGCAGACAAAGGAGCAGAGGTTCCCATACCCTCGGCAAATACAGAGATGATAGCCTTCGAGCATTTGGCCCCAGATGTCACTCATGTTTCTGGCAGTATAGTTAGCAGTCACTCGCCAGCTCTATCGCCTCGTGCAGGGTCAGAGCCCCCACTATCAAAACGGCCCAAGATTGGACACTTGGAGCATGGTGATTTAGTCAGAAGCTCTAGCGATACAGGGCCAGCTCTGTCAACGAGAAACTCGCCGGGGGACCAAGTCAGCAGTAGCTTGGAAATCCGGCCACCATCGCCACCCGTGGGAGTTGACGACATCGACCCTGCAGATTTGATATCTGAGAAGCTCGCAAAACTCGCCCGTGAACTGTCGTCGAGATATCGTCCGACGACAAAACGCGACATCGAAGCCTTCGAACGAGGATACTGGCTTATCAACTGCAGTAGCTGGGACCCAGATGTCCGGTTTGATGCTTGGGTTTTTCTCGCCAATTATCTCAAGAGTGGTTTGGCGGGCTGGGGAACCTGGTGCCGTAGAGACAAAACCCACGACTGGATACGCTTATATTGCTGGGGTCATGTCGCGAAACATACTTACTTGCTTTTGTACCTTGCAAGTGGACGGCAGGTCAAGACAAGTGGCGCGAAGTGGTATGGAGCAGATGGTGAAGTTGCTCTGGAAATCCCGCCTTATGAGAAGCAGGGATAAGTCAGATGACTGCTCGTACCACATTTCAGTTTGGATATTTCACTCGACTTGGCATCCTGGGAGGACTTGAATATTCGTGTCATAAGCGAGGCGTTTGTCGGTTCTTTTTCCTGCTTCTTTGGTCTAGATAACGGTTGCGAATCATGGCAACTAGATAGAGCTACAAAGCTTAGTCCTTCGATGTTACGAGGCGGCATGAATAGACAAAACACACGTTACACGAGCCTTTGATTATCAACTATTCCCAAGCGACTACCAGCTCAGCTGAGCCTGGGGTATGTCATGTCTTAACCAGGGCCGTCGTACCCTACACGATCCGGTACAAACACAAGCAAGAACAAAAATACACAAAAACCAGACCAGACAAAGCCCCCGTTACCATTCCCTTAACCCCCAAGCCTTTATGATCAGTACCATACCATAAATAGATCATAAACACCTTGAATTCCTAAACTTGCACAACAGCGATCACTCACGAAACAGTCCTTTGTACATAGAATTTCTCTCTAGTCTAAGTGGCAGCCCCTGATATTCGGTTCCCTAGGCAAGTCCAGTTTCCTGGATGACCTTTGCACGCGCACCAAGCTTCT